GGAGTGAACCAGCGGATGGAAGACTTCTCTCGTCCTCTCTTTCTGCAACTCTACCTCTCAAATCTCTTTAAAGAAAAAAAAAATGTGGGCCGGGATTGTGGTACGGGGGGTTAAGCCGCCCCTGCAACACCAGCATCTCAGAACGCGGGTTCGAGTCCCTGCTGCTCTGATTCTGTTCCGGTTCCCTGGGGACCGAGCACCTGGGCTCCCACCACCCGTGTGGGAGACCCAGAGGGGGCTCCTGGCTCCTGGCCTTGGCCTGGCCCAGCCCTGGCTGTTACTGGCATTTGGGGAGTGAACTCGTGGGCGGAAGACCTCCCTCTCTCCCCCCCCTTGCTCTCTCCCCCCTCCCTCCTTCTACCCCCTACCCTCTCTGGATTTCAAATAAAAATTTTAGACAGCTGGGGCTGGGTCAGGCCAAAGTCGGGGGCCCAGACCGCCATCCAGGTCTCCCACGCAGGTTCAGCCCACTTCCCCTGAAGGGGATATGAATAGGGCTGGGGCCCCGTTACCCACGGGGGGGGGGGGCCCGCACCGACTGGGGGCCTTTCCTGATTGGCCGCCGCCACTGATGAGGTCACTGCCTAGCCACACCCCCAACCACACCCCCGGCTCCTAGCTGGAGCTGGGACCGCAGACTCCTCCCCCTCAGGCCTGGGGCGGGTCTGAGTGGGGATGGGGGGCGTGGTAGACGGGAGGGGTCCCTGGCGGAGGGGCCGCCCCCACACTGCCTGCCAGTCTTCCTTAGCTCCGCCCCCAGCAAGATGTTCCTGACGGTGACCCGGCTGTACTTCAGCGCCGAGGAGGGCGGGGAGCGCTCGGTCTGCCTCGCCTTCGCCTTCCTGTTCCTCATGCTGGCCATGCTGGTGCAGGTGGTGCGGGAGGAGACCCTGGAGCTGGGCCTGGAGCCAGGTGCGTGCGTGTGGGCGTGCGTGTGGGCGGGCGGCGCCGGGCTGGCCGCGGGTGCGGCTGTGACAGCTCCGCTCGGGGCTGTGTCTGTCCCGTGCCGGTCCGTGCTCACCGCCGCCCCGAGAGAGGTCCGGGGTAGGAGGTGTGGAGGACAATCGCCTCCTTCCCTGTTACCCCCGGACGGAACCTGGGGTGCAGGGGACCCCGCACCCCGTCTGCTTCCGTGAATAACACAGCCAGTGCTGGCGGTGGCCCTGGCGGCCGCGCTGCTGCGCATCTGCCGTCATGGCACGGAGTGGCTGTCCAGTGTGGTTTTGTTCAGTTCTGGGACCGGTGGGGGGGAGCCAGGCTCCTCTTCCCGCTTGACTCAGGCTGTCGCTAGGAGACACTGTTGCAGGAATGGCCCCGGGCCACCTTTTAAAGAACTGGTGGCTGGCCCTTTTATTGATTTGTAGGAGCTCTTTATATATTGAAGAACTTATCCTTTGTGAGAGAAGTTGCACGGGTTCCCCCCCCCCAATTCTTCGTTTTTCATTGATCTCCTTGGTCCTTCCCTTCTGTGTGACTGGACTGTAGCGCACCACAGGGTCCCTCCCCAGGTGGCCGCACGGCCAGGCCAAAGCCAGAAGCCTGGAGCCCAGTCCAGGTCTCCCCGGTGGGCGGCAGGGACCCAAGCACTTGCGCCTTGCTCACTGGGAGCAGAGCCAGGACTTCAATCGGGCGCCCCCCCCCCCCCCGCCGGGGATGCAGGTGCAGGTGTAGGCACATGAGCAGGGAGCGGGATTGGAGGTGGAGCAGCCGGGACTCGAACCGGCACCCCTGTGGGATGTCCGGTTGCAGCTCCAGCCTCCCCCACTGCACCGTGAGGGCAGCCTGTGTCTTGTCTTATGGAACCAATGGACCATTCCATGAATGTCTAAAATGTCATAGAGGTGAACGCCTACCCGTTGGAAGCCTGCCTCTCCCGGCTGGCCGCCTGGATTTCATGCCCTGGATCCCGATTCCAGCTTCCTGCTCGTGGGGGCCCTGGGAGGCAGTGGTGGTGGCTCGAGTCCTCGGGCCCCTGCCAGCCACAGGGTGACCTGGATGGAGCTCCCGGCTCCCAGCTTTGGCCTGGTCTGGCACTAGCTACGGTGGGCTGTTAGGAGTGAACCAGTAGACGGCAGATCTGTCTCTTTTCCTCTTAATTAAGTAAATAAAACTGTTAAAAAGATAGGTCAGGTATAGGCATTTGGAAACACAGCTGGATGGGAAGTGGAGCAGCCGGGACTCGAACCGGCGCCCATGTGGGATGCCGGCACTGCAGGTGGCGCCTCTACCCGCTACGCCACAGCGCCGGCCCCTTTATCTTTGCAACATTGCATTTCTTTCTGCCTTCTAGTTCCCTATGTCAGAGGTGTGTCATCCTGTCCCGCTGCCTTTCAAATAACCAGATCTTTAAACACACACACACACACATACACAGCTGGATATTCTCTGCCATCTCTGGGTCGGGGGTGCGCCCCAGCGAGTGACACCGGGCTGGGTTTCTCCCTGCCCTGGTCGGGGGTCCTCGGCTCTCCGCCGCCCCTCCCGATGACCGCCAGCCCTCCCGATGACCGCACCTCTCATTCCTCTGCGCTCGCCTCGAGCCCTGGCTGGACGCTGCCTGCGAGTCCCCCGCTGTGCCCAGCCCCTCCCCCGAGCACGCACGCCTGCCCCCGCCTCTGCCCTCCTCCCCTGGGCTCCAGCCTTCCTCTCCAGGTCCTTGGAGCCCACTCGTCCCTGTCTGTCTCCTGCTGCCGCCTCGCCCTGGTGGCGATTTGGGGGCGGCGAGCTCCTGTTTGATTTGCCCTTGTCCGTGGGAAAAATCTTGGGCGCTGAACAGAGGACTTTGGCTTCTCCCGTGGGAACATTTCACCCCCCCCCCCGCCCCGCCCCAGTTGCTGGAAGAATCCAGAAGCTCAGACTTGGAAGTCCCAGCCGGATACGAAGTGGTCCTCCTGCCTGGCCGAGCGCCTGGCCCCTACGGGTGCGGAGAGGGGCCCCTGCGGCCTGGGGGAGTCTTCCTTCCCCCACGGGCGCGGTCGCCTGGGAGGACCACTTCCCTCCTCCCGTCTCTCCCCAGGCCTGGCCAGCATGACCCGGAGCTTGGAGCCGCTTCTGCAGGACCAAGGCTGGGACTGGGCGTGAGTCTTGGGGGTGGGGGGCAGGCTGGGGGCCTCCCCGGGTGCCCAAGGCCTGTAGGGGCTTCTCTGACCTGCTGTTCCCCGCCCCCAGACTCCCCGTGGCCAAGCTGGCCATCCGCGTGGGGCTGGCGGCCGCGGGGTCCGTGCTGGGCGCCTTCCTCACCTTCCCCGGGCTGCGGCTGGCTCAGACCCACAGGGACGCGCTCACCATGTCGGAGCACCGGCCGCTGCTGCAGTTACGTGGGCCAACCGGCTGGGGGGGCGGGTCTAGGGCGCCGGGGGCGGGGCGGGGGCGGGGCCTCACGCGGCCCCGCCCTGCCGCCCAGGTTGCTGCTACACACCAGCTTCCTGTCCCCCGTGATCATCTTGTGGCTCTGGACCCGGCCCATCGCGCGGGACTTCCTGCAGCAGGCGCCCCTCGGCGGGGCGTCCGTCTCCCTGTGCGTGCCGGGAGGGGCTGGGAGGGCGAGCAGCGGCCCCCCTCCTCCACGCTCCGGTCCCTGAGGCTGGGGGTGGGGCAGGGGGGACGCCCCCCCCAACCCACGCCCTCGCTGCCTCTGCCCAGGCTGTCGGACGCGGCCTTCGACTCGGCGCGCCTGTGGGTGCTGGTGGCGCTGTGCCTGCTGCGCCTGGCCGTCACGCGGCCCCACCTGCAGGCCTACCTGTGCCTGGCCAAAGCCCGCGTGGAGCAGCTGCGCAAGGAGGCCGGCCGCATCGAGGCCCGCGAGATCCAGCGGCGGGTACGGGGGCGCCCCGGGCCGGGCGGGGGCCTGGGGCGCTCAGGGAGGGGCCCGCGCCAACCCCCCCCCCCCCGCCCCGTGCCCACCAGGTGGTCCGCGTGTACTGCTACGTGACGGTGGTGAGCCTGCAGTACCTGACGCCGCTCATCCTCACGCTCAACTGCACGCTGCTGCTCAAGTCCTTAGGTGAGGGGCGGGGCGGGACTTAGCGTGGGTAAGGGTGGAGCCTGGGCGGGGCCCTCCTGGAAGGGGCGGGGCCTAGAGCCTGGCTCTCTGCCTGGGGCACGCAGGGCGGGGCCTGGGCGGGGGTCGGCCCTCAGTGGGAAGTGGTCGGGGTGGAGGGAGGGAAGGGGCTCAGGCCGCTGTCTGTGCCCCGCCCGCCCCGCCCCCTCTCGCAGGTGGTTACTCCTGGGGCCTGGGCCCCGCCCCTCCGCTGTCCCCGGCCCCGCCCGCCCTCAGCGCCGAGCCGCTCGGCCCGGGGGAAGACGAGGCCCGGGAGACGGCGGCGCGCATCGCGGGCGCCCTGGGCGGGCTGCTCTCGCCGCTCCTCCTCCGCGGGCTCCTGGCCTTCCTCATCTGGTGGACGGCGGCCTGCCAGCTGCTGTCCAGCCTCTTCGGCCTCTACTTCCACCAGCACCTGGCCGGCTCCTAGCTGCCTGCAGCCCCGCGGCGCAGCCCTCGGCCCTCGCGCGCCTCGGTGCCTGCCCCCGGCTGCAACACGGGGCTGGGGCCTGTGCCGTGCCCCGCAGTGCCTGAGCCTCCGCCCGGAAACGCACGGCCCTGGGCCCGGGTGCGGGGGGCCGAGTGGGGCCAGCTCTGCTGGACCCATCAAAGACCAGGCGGGCTGGGGGGGCTGAGATGGTAGGAGGAGGGCTGGGGGGCTGGGACAGCGGCACCCCGCCTGCAGAGTCCCCGCTGTTCCACTCCCCATCCGGTACCGGGAGGCAGCAGTAGGGGCCCAGCGCCCCCGTGGGGACGCGGAGGGCGCGCCTGGCCCAGCCTGGCTGTTGGGGGCATCTGAGGAGCGACTCCGTGGGTGAAGGATCTGTTACTTTGCCTTTGGAATAAATAAACCTGTAAGTTTCAGGCTTGCAGTTGAAGCTTTATTCACAATGACCTTCAGCCTATTTGGAGCTTGGCAAAGGCCCGGGGGTCGGACCTGAAGAAGAGACGTGGGCGCGAGGAGAAGTCATTCGGATTTTTATTAAATATACTCTTGGCACAAATTTTAAAATATATAAACATTATATATAAACAATATCTTCATGGCATCAAAATAGAACTCCCGCCCAGGGGCGGCGGCCTGGGGCCCAGAGGGGGGTCCCCCGTGCCTGCGTCCCCTGCCCTCGCTCCGTCCCGCTCCAGGCTCCGGGAGGGGCGCCCCGGCCTCCTCACCTGCAGAGCCGGGCAAGGCCGAGAGGGGGCGCAGTGCGGGGAAGACGGGGCTGAGATGGGGGATGGCCCACGAGGGGTTTTCACACCCGTGGCTCCGTGGCGGGAAGAAGGGGGGGCGCACGTGTGCGGGTCCCTTTCCACCAGGCGGCCACTGAGCTGGGGCCGGCCAAGGTGAAACAGCCACCAAACAAGCCCCAAACGTTAGGAGGTGGGGGTGCCCCCAGGGCCCCCGACTCCTCCGTGTCCCCCACCCCACGCGGGGAGGGCCAGGGTCCCCGCCACCTGTCCGCCCCACACACGGAAATCCAAGCCTTCGTCGTCCTAAATGGCTGGGTCTGCGCCAGGGACCCACGGGTGCCGCGGCTGGGCAGAGGGCCGGGACCTGGGGGGCTGTTTGCGGCAGACACCCCCCCAGGCTGGGAGCCAGACCAGACCCTGACACCGGTGTGTGGGGCGGGCGGCACGGAAGGAGCAGGACCCTCCCGGGAACGTTGCAAACAGGGCAGGCACCGCTCCCGCCCCCAGCCCTCCCCCGACCGTGGAGTCTGGGCTGGGCCGAGCTCTCTCGGGGAGAAGCCGCTGTCACCTGGGCAGCAATGGCGAAGGCAGGACAGGCGGGGCGGGGCTGCGTTGGGGGCTGAAGCTGAGCACGAGGCTCGTCCCATCCCGGCCAGAGTCCGGCTGCGGGGAGCGCGCCACGCACGCACAGAGGGCGGAACCGGGTCACTCACAGCAGCAGTGCGGCCCCCCAGCAGACAGGGCGCCAAGGGCGGGGCCAACCTTTCAGGCCACACCCCCTAGAGGCAGCCCCCGCCCCGAGACCCCCTGCACCCCCACCCCACATTGCACTTGAAGGCCCCCGTTTCGCGCCTGGCCCTGTGGGCTCGGAGCCCAGGCCCGCCCGTTCGTTGCCACCAAGGGCCCCGACCAGGCTCCAGGGCTGAGCCACGCGCATGCGCGCGCGCCCTTGTTCCGCGGGCTCGGTTCCCGCCCGCGCTGCGGGCCCCTAGCTCTGCAGGCGCCGCAGCAGGATCTGCGTGAGGTCGAAGGTGGTGAAGCTGATGCCCACGGCGATGGGGCCCTTGAGCCAGTTCATGCTCAGGCCCTTGTACAGGCCGCGCACGGCGCCCTCCTCCCGCACGATGGTGCGCAGCGTGCCCACGATGGAGGCGCGCGGGTGGCCCGTGACGCCCGCCGTCTGCATGCGCCGCCGCACCACGTCGAGCGGGTACGAGGCCGACTGCCCGATGAGGCCGGCGCAGGCCCCGAAGATCATGCGCTCGAAGGGGTAGGGCTGCCGGCGGCCGCTGTACTCTGCGGGGCGAGAGGCGCGAGCGGCCGTGAGCGCGCCGCCGGGGCTGCGCACCCTCCCCGCGCGTGCGTGCGTGCGTGCACACGCGCACCCCGGGCTGCACCGGCTCCCCTGCGCATCACTCCTTTTGGAGCAAAACCCAGAAACAACTTTCTCCGAGGTATAAAGCAGCCCTAAGATACGGGAGCCGCAGCGCACACCCCTGCCGCTCCGCACCTGGCTCAGAAATGAAGCCACGCCCACCAGGCCCGACCAACCTGAGCGTGACCTACACCAAGCACAGCCTCCCCGGGTCTAGGCTGCGTGCGCGTAAGGGAACCGAGCAGAGACGGACGGACAGGCGGACGGGAGCTCCGAGCCGCCGCCATTCCCGGAGCAGGTCGGGAGGAGGGCCAGGTGGAGGGGGCGGGGGGACCCGGGGTCGCACACCCACCCAAGGACGCGAGCTCCAGGTGTTGGCTGCGTGCAGAAAGCCCGCAGACAGCTCACGCCCGGCTGCGACCAGGACGGGGGTGGGGGGTGGGGGGTGGGGGTGTGGGGGGCGGAGCCTGTGGTGCCACAGCCGGAGGCAGAGGGCCGTGCCAACGCACGCGGGAACACAGGGCCCCTCCGAAAGCGCGTGGAAAATGCACTTAAGAGCAGCCGGCTCTGTGGCGCAGTAGGTTTACGGCCCGCAGTGCCGGTTCGAGTCCCGGCTGCTCCACTTCCCATCCGGCTCTCTGCTACGGCCTGGGAAGGCAGTAGAGGATGGCCCCAGCACCTGCACCGCAGGCCCGGAGGCAGCTCCTGGACGCTAACAAGAGCCAGGGGCAGCAGAGGGCCAGCGCCGGAGCGCCCACGCCTGCGCACCCCGGGGGCTGGGTCCGCTGCTGGGCCCGGACGTGTTCTGGGGAGCCCGCCGAGCGAGCCGGAGACACCACCCCACCGTGCCCGCCCTGCGCATGCGCATGCGCACGCCACACGCCCCGCCCCGCCCGCTCACCGCGGTGCAGGCTCTTGAGGGTCTCGTAGGTGAAGAAGCTGAGCCCCGCGTAGGGGATGACCCCCAGCACGGTGGGCGTGAAGCCGTGGTACAGGGTCTTCAGCCCCTCTTCCCGGGAGATGCGGATGAACACGTGGAAGATGTTGCTGTACCTGCGGGGAGGGCTGCGGGTGGGCACAGGGGCGGCAGAGCAGGCCCCGCCCCGGCCCCGCTCAGCCTGACCCCCGGGGCAGAGGGCAGGGCCGGGGCTCGGCCCCTAGGGAGTCCCTGGCGCCCACGCTGTAGCACTCACATCTCCTTTGGGGTCACGGCCATGCGGGCTCTGACCAGGTCCAGGGGGTACGTCAGGGAAGCGGCCGTGGTCCCGGCCAGGGCGCCAGCGAGGAGGCGAGGCCAAGGCGGCAGGGCTCTGAAGGGGGGGTGGGAGGGAGGTGAGACCCGGCGGGGGGGGGGGGGGCTGCAGGCCAGGCGGGGGTGGGGGCGGGGTCTCCCGGGGGGGGGGGGGGGGGAGGGAGGTGTGAGACCCGGTGCCTCGCGGTGTGGGGTCTAATGGGGGATGGGAGGGAGGTGTGAGACCCACGGGGGAGAGGGGGCTGCAGGCCGCGCGGGGGGCGGGGTCTCCTGGGGGGTGGGAGGGAGGTGTGAGGCCTGGCGGGGGGCTGCAGGCCGCGCGGGGGGGGGGGTGGGGCGGGGGCGGGGTCTCCTGCGTGGGCGGCGCTCTCCCTCCCTGCACGGATTGGGGACAGGTGTCTGCCGCAGGGCCCCGGGACACTGCGGCCTGCTGCCCTGGGATTTGGGCTCTGGGAGGAGGTGGGCAAAGGTGAAGAGTGGGAGGACGACAGGACCGCGAAGGAGAGAAGTCACCGGGAGCGGGCGGGGCGCAGGGTGGTGGGCGGGGCTGGGAGGGGGCATGGCAGCCAGGGGCGGGGCCTGGAGAAGGCGGGGTGCAGCAGGGGCAGGGCCTGGAGGAGGGGCGCATGGCGGCAGGCGGGGCTGGGAGAGGGATGGGGCAAGAGGAAGGGGCGGGGCATGGAGAACGCGGGGCGTGGCTGGGAAAGGGGCGGGGGCGCATGGCTGTGGGTGTGGCTCCGATGGGCGGGGCGTGTGACGGGGCGGGGTCTGGGCGGGGCCTCACTCTCCACGGAAGCCGTAGTAGCGGCCCAGGACCCGCTTGTACTCCTCGTGCGCGCTGAACTGGATGGCGGCGTAGGGCACCACGCGCACCATGGTGGCCGAGTTCCCGCGCCACAGGCTCAGGAAGCCCTCGTTGAGGTAGGTGAAGTAGAGGAGCCGGAAGGCCTCCTGAGGGGGAGGCAGGCGGTCAGCGGGCCCACCGCCCCCCCCCCACGTGCACCTGCCCAGCCAGCGGACGCCCCCAGGAGAGCAGAGGCTGGGCCGGGGGCGCCCTCATCCCTGTGCCCCCTGCTCTCTGGCGAGTGCCGCACCCTGCTCAGTTCGGACCTTAGAGCTCAGATTAAAACAAACGCAGCGAGGGCGTGGCGCAGCGAGGGCGTGGCTCGCGGTTTGCCTGGCATCTAGCCTTTCAAACTTTAACACCTGCTCTCTGCTCAATGGTAAGGCACACGGGAAGACGTGGCCTTGGAACTGGCACTGTCTGGGCAGGCCCCTCGCCTCCCTGCCCCAAGGGTAATGGGGTCTCCCACCTGCAGCCCACCCACCCAGTCCCAGGGCGGGCGGTCAGGCGGCCCCGCTCACCTTGGCAGAAAACCGTTTAGAAGACACTGGAAAAACAAGGGTACAGACTGTGAGACGCAGCGTGGGACACCCCCCCCGTGTGCATGCCCCCCAACACCCGCTGAGTACTGGGAGCGCAGCCCCTAGGGGTGCTGTCCCCCCCCCAGTCACTGTCCTCCACCCCAGACCTGTCCCCAGGAAGGGACACAGAGCTAACACCTGAACCCCCAGGACGGCGAGAGGTACCTCTGCTGGGGGGGGCTGGGGGAAGCACCTGCCTCTGGAAACCCCGCTCAGGGCTCATGGGCTGGACTCCAGGTCGTCCCCTGTCCCCTGGCTGTCCCCCCCACGCCACGGTGCCCTGGGCTTCCTGCTGGGCAGTGAGGACGTGTGGGAAAGACCCAGATCTAGGCACTGGGGGTCTCTGAGGACCTCCCGTGTGGCCTGGCAGCCCCCACCCCTTCCGATGCCACCTGGGGGAGGACCCTGGGCCACAGAAAGGCGGGGCATGGGAGGGCCAGGGGGGCCTGGGCCGGAAGTGTTAACCCTTTGTGGGAGAGCGTGCGCTCAGATTCAGCGGCCCCTGCAGAGTTGAACTCCGTGGCTCCTGTTGTGGGCCGAGTTGTGTCTCCCCCCAAATCCTATCCACGTCCTCACCCCAGGTTCCTGTTCGTACCCAAGGTCTTCCAAGTCGCAATCAAGTTAAGGCTGTGCAGGATTAGGGACGGCTGACCCTGAGGGCTGGGGTCCTCGTAAGCCACAGACAGGAAACGGGGGCAGCTGGGGCGCCACCCCGCCCCCACGGGCTCCAGAGGGAGCCCAGCCCTGTTAGTTTGCTTAAAAAGGATTTATTTACTTGAAAGGCAGAGGAACAGAGAGGGAGAGACAGAGAGAGATGGCCCACCTGCTGGTTCACTCCCTAAATGCCTCCCTGTGCTGGGGCTGGAAACCCCACCCAGGTCTCCCACGTGGGTGCAGGGGCCCCAGTACTTGAGCCGGCACCTCCGTGCCCCAGGGTGCCCATTAGCAGGAAGCTGGAACTGGGAGTGGATCAGGGACTCACACCCAGGCCCTCAGATACAAAGAGGCATCTTTAAAAGCAATTTGAGGGGCTGGCGTGGTGGTATCGTGGGTAAAGCCACTACCAGCAGTGTTGGCATCCCATATGGGTGCTGGTTCAAGTCCCGGCTGCTCCACTTCTGATCCGGCTCGCTGCTATGGCCTGGGAAAGCAGTAGAAGGCGGCCCAAGAGCTTGGGCCCCTGCACCCATGTGGGAGACCCGGATGGAGCTCCTGGCTTCGGATCAGCGCAGCTCTGGCTGTTGCAGCCATTTGGGAGTGAACCAGCAGATAGAGGACCTCAGTGTGTGTGTGTGTTTACCTCTCTGTAACTCTGTCAAATAAATCTTAAAAAAAGAAAAAAGCAATTTGAAGAAGCCTGGGGGTACTAAGGCGGCGGGGGGTGGGGGTGGGGGGCTGGCTGGCTGGCGCAGGGACAGACAGCATTTACCTTGGAAGATGATTTTGGTTCGGTCCAGGGGAGCTACCGCCGTCTTGGCGAGGGCGCCAGCCAGGGCCCCGGACAGGAGGGAGCTGAGCACTTGCCTGTGGTCACTCTGCAACAGACCCCAGGGCCAAGGGCGTCAGAGAGCCGGGGTTTGGGGGGCGGCTCTGCAGGGGGCCAGGTCCTAGGGCGGCAGCTCTGGCTCCCGCAGGCATCAGCTGGGAGGGGCTGTTGGCCTTCCCGGGGCATCCCTCATTTTGGGGCCCCCGGCTGGGCTGACCCCACGAAGGAAGGGAGCGCTGTGCCCCACCTGGCCGTGTTCGGACCGCGGCGCCCTGAACTGCCTCCGGCGCTGTGCCGGAGGGTCAGGGTCACGGCGGTCCTAGCAAACGCCATTTTCTCTACTTCTACCAGGACTCCCAGTCTGCACACGGCTCAGGTCGGGGGTGCCGGAAGGGTCTCATGGTCTCAGTGTCCACTACGTGGGCAAACCTGCCAGCCAAGGCGGGGCCATTCTGGCCGGAAACACAAGAAAACGCTGGACCCCTAACCAGAGCGTCAGCGGCAGGACAGGGCGAGAGCCCTCGGTGGGCTGGGTCAAACAGATCAAAACTGAGGGCAGCGGCAGGGAGGCGGGCCCTTGCCTGCGCCTACCAGTGACCGGCACCGCGGGATTTCAGGGCGGGGCGGGGCGGGGCGGGGGTCGCCGCAGCCTGCACCTGCGCCCTCCTGTGGACCCCTCCCACCGGCGTGCCGAGGGCCGGCCCTAAGCACACGCAACTCCGAGGGGGCGTGCCTGCCTCCCCTCGGGCCCGCCCCTGCGGGCGAGGACCTCACCGGGCGCCACCTGGAATTTGGGGGAAAGGTCAGGAGGCCTGGGGCGCACCTTTCACCCAGTGGACTTTGAGAAGGGCCCGGGAGCCAGGAGGGCGGGGCCGAGCCGCTCTCTTTCAAGTTCAGCCGGGAGAATTTGGGGCGGGGCATGTTCAGGCTTCTGTGGTGAGCCCACCTCCGGCCCGGACCATTGGCTCCTCCCAGGGACACAGCGGCCTCGTGGCTCCCAGCCCCCATGTTGGGAGAGGCTAGGGCTTCCTGGGCCTGCTGGACACCACCCCGCGGGTCAGGGCCCCATCGCGAGACGCCCGCAAGGGCCGGGGAACTTGCCTTTGACGAGACGGGCGAGGGCAGGACGGCCTGAGCATCCTCCCGCAGAGCCACCGAGCCTTCTTTTACGCCACTCCCCATCCCAGGCCTGCTCGGGATGGCGGAGCCTCGGTCCTGGGGAGCGGAGGGCAGGGGTGAGCCAGGGGCCTTCGGGCGGGGAGCCGGGCTCCCCCGCCCGCCGCCCGCTCCGGCCTCGGACCTGTCCCCGAGTTGCACTGGGCACAGCCAGATGCCCCGGCCTGGCCCTTCCCTGCCCCAGCTGCCGCCTCCCTGCAAAGACAACCCCGCTCCAGCGTCGCCGCCCTTGACCGAGGGCCTTTCTTGGCCCCTCCCACGTGTCATTGTCACAGTCTGTTTTTTCAAAACCGACAGAGCAGAGGGGCTCAGAGAAGGCATGCAGGCAGCGGGGCTCAGGGAGCAGGAAGCAGAGGCCGGTGGCCGGGGGGCCAGCCTGAGAGACTGTCCACTGCTTTTAGAAAACCCACCACCTGCGACACCCGCAGCCCATAGGAGCACTTGCTCCACTTCCGATCCAAGCTCCTTGCTAACGCGCCTGGGAAAGCAGCACAGGTGCTCCAAGTGCTTGGGCCCCTGCACCCACGAGAGGGAGTTCCAGGTTTCGGCTTGGCCCAGCCCCACGGCCATCTGGGGAGTGAGCCAGTAGACGGAAGGTCACTCTGCCCCCCTCCCCAGGCTCTGCCTTTGAAACAAGTAAGTAAGTAAATCTTCATAGGACAATGCACTGTACTGAGGTGGGGTCTTACGAACCAGTGCAGCAGGACACATGGGTCAGGGGCCCCACGCTCCTGCGTCCTGGGAACCTGAGAATGTTGTACAAAGAACAGAAGCAGCCGGCGCCGGCCAGGGGCCAGGAGACACGGCGGGTCTCTGTTGCCCACCCCAGCACGGTGGGCCCTGGAGGTCCTTGGACACCGGGCTGCTGGGCACGGAGGGCGCAGCCTGTCTGGGAGCAGAGTCCAGTCCCTGGGGGCCGCCCTCCGAGAAGGTTTCAGCCATCTGCTGTCCCTCCCCCCTCCCCCCACACAGTGGCTGCCCGCTCCAGGCTCAGGAGGTAGGATTCTGGGGCACCTTCCCCAGGTAGGCAGGGCTCGCGGGCAGGCCGTGCGGCCTCAGCCCCACACCGGCTGCACCTTCCCAGCCTCCTGCTTCCCTCTGGGAGCAGGAAGGACCCCCCCCCATCTTCTCTCAGTTGCCTGCCTGGCTTGAGGGCCAGCCCCAGAAGCCCAGTGCAGACAGCTGAGACAGCACCTCAAATTATTAATTTGAAAACTAGAGTTACAGAGAGAGAGGGAGAAGCAGAGACAGAGAGCGCTATTCTCTGGTCCACTCCCCAGATGGCCGCAACGGCCAGGGCTGGGCTAAGCCAAAGCCAGCAGCCAGGAGCTCCAACCGGGTCTCCCATGCAGGTGCAGAGGCCCAAGGACTCGGGCCATCGTCCACTGCTTTCCCAGGCCACAGCAGAGAGCTGGACGGGAAGTGGAGCAGCCGGGACTCGAACCGGTGCCCATGTGGGGTGCTGATCACAGGCACAGCTTACCCTGCTGTGCCACAGTGCGGCCCTACCCAATGTGTTCCTTAAGGAAGTGAGGTAAGGGGTGTTTCGGATGCATGTAAGCTAGAAAAGCCAGCCATGCAGTGGCGGCGGAATGGGGTGGTGCAGACTGCAGAACTGGGGGATGAGGTCCTCGAGGTGGCGGAGGAAAACGGGCCCCCCAGGCCTCCCCGGGAGGGCATTCTCAGCGAACGCTCGCTCTGGGCCCAAGCGACCATGCTCATCATGGCCCAGGAAAACAAGGGGGAAAAGCGCTGTGACCACCAAGTCACAGCCCTGGCCCCGGGGGCCAGCGCTCGGGTTGTGCCACCCCCGAATGTGGCTCCTTGGCGTTTGTGAAGACGGTAGGAGCAGGAAGGTGGCCCTCGGAGGGGCTTCCCGACTCCCCAGGAAGCGGTCACAGACCCTGGTGTGACAGGCACCCTCGGTGCACCTGCGGGAACGGAGCCCAGGAGCAGGATGTGGGGGCCGGCTTTGCCGAGTCCCTAGCCCCCGGTCCACGTGCCGGGTCACACCTGTCCAGCCTCCGGTCAGATCTGCCCCAGACCAGGCAGGAAAACCCTCAGGCTGTAGCCAGCGCTGTGGGGTTTGGCTTCAAAGCCCACCCATGGCCTTCTTCAGATACGAGCCCCGTGCAGGGGGCTGGTGTTGCGCTGCCGTGGGTGAAGCCCCTGCCTGTGATGGAGTCGGTTCGAGTCCCAGCCGCTCTGCCTGTGACCCAGCTCCCTGCTAATGCAACTGGGAAGGCAGAGGAGGATGGCCGAGTGGGAGACCGGGATGGAGTTCCAGGCTCCTGACTTTGCCCTGGCCCAGCCCTCACCATTGCATTCATCTGGGGAGTGAACCAGTGGATGGAAGATCTGTCTCTGCCTATCACTCTGCCTTTCAAATAACTAAAATAAATTGTTCTTTTTTTAAAAAATATGCATTTATAAAAAAAATAGGATCTGGGGACCAGGGTGGGGAAGGAACGGTAGATAGGTCTGGATTAAAAGTTTGCTCCTAGGCCGGTGCGGCGGCTCACTAGGCTAATCCTCCGCCTTGCGGCACCGGCACACCGGGTTCTAGTCCCGTGTGCTGGCAACAGTGTCTTGCAGCCAGCCTGGAGGTCACCCCTGTCCCCACAGCCTGAGGTCCTCTCTCTGACCGCCCACTGGAGACCAGCACTCGCCCTCACTGCCCTGGCCTCCACGGCAGCAGGTGGCTCGTGAGCGTCCCAGGGTGAGCCACTGCCTGCTGCCCACCCTCCTATTTCTGTCAACTTCTCCCCTGGGGCAGGCCCTGGCAGCTGCCCTGTGCCGGCTCCAGAGCGGCATTTACTTTAAAGTTCAAGTGCGCATTCCTGGGACGACAGCGTAAATGACGCTGCTTCTAAAGGGAGCCCCACCTGCTCTCTTAGGGCAGAGCAGGAGGAACCCGAACCCGTGGGAATCGACACCTGCAATGGGTGCGTCTGCAGGTGGGGCTGGCGTGGGGCACAGCGGGTTAAGCTGCCGCTTGCAACCCTCTGCTAATGCACCTGGGAAAGCAGCAGAGGACGGCCCAAGTCTTGGGCCCCTGCACCTGCGTGGGAGACCCAGATGCAGCTCCAGGCTCCTGGCTTCTCCCTGGCGCAGTCGCAACCATTGCAGCCATTCGGGGAGTGAACCAGCAGATAAAGATCTCTCCGCGCCCATCACTCTTTCATAGACATTAGTAAGGCATCTTCAAAGGAAATACCTTCAGGTATGAGAGGCGAGAGAGACAAAGGGGCAGCGGGCAGGTTACCTGGGACAGGGCACTCTGACCCTCCACAACCCAGCCCTGGTAATATTTGTTCCCACGTCCAGCTCAGGATTGACTGGAGAAACCCCCACACAAGCCTTCTAGAAAACGCTCATGGAGGGACTGGGGCTGTGGTGAGCGGGTTAAGACGCCACCAGTGAAGCCAGCATCCCACATGGGCTCCAGTTCAATTCCTGGCTGCTCCACTTCCCATCCAGCTTCCTGCTCATACGCTTGGGAGGCAGCCGTAATGGCCCAAGTGCCTGGGCCCCTGCATCCACGTGGGAGATCAGGATGGAGTTTCTGGCTCCTGCCTTCGGCCTGGCCCTGCCCAAGCCTGTTGCAACCACCTGGGAAGTAAACCAGCAGATGGAAGATTCATATTCTCTCTCTTTCCCTCTCTCCCTCTCTCCCTCTCCCTCTTTCTCCTCCTCTCCCCCCTCTCCTCTTCTCCCCCTCTCTCTCCCCCTCCTTCCCTCCCCTCCCATCTCTATAACTCTGCATTTCAAATAAATATATAAATCTTTGGGGCCGGCGCCGTGGCTCAATAGGCTAATCCTCCACCTTGCGGCGCCGGCACACCGGGTTCTAGTCCCGGTCGGGGCGCCGGATTCTGTCCCGGTTGCCCCTCTTCCAGGCCAGCTCTCTGCTGTGGCCAGGGAGTGCAGTGGAGGATGGCCCAAGTGCTTGGGCCCTGCACCCCATGGGAGACCAGGAAAAGCACCTGGCTCCTGGCTCCTGCCATCGGATCAGCGCGGTGTGCCAGCTGCAGCGGCGGCCATTGGAGGGTGAACCAACGGCAAAGGAAGACCTTTCTCTCTCTGTCTCTCTCTCTCACTGTCCACTCTGCCTGTCAAAAAAAAATATATATATATATATATAAATCTTTGTATAAAAATTCATGGAAAATTGAATTAAAGTTTTATTTTGATACAAAAACATTGTTGACACCCACACATAGTTTTTTCATGATATACATTTCCATAAACTTTTTAAAAAAAGTTTCATGGCTGGCGCCGCGGCTCACTAGGCTAATCCTCCACCTTGCGGCGCTGGCACACGGGGTTCTAGTCCCAGTCGGGGCGCCAGATTCTGTCCCAGTTGCCCCTCTTCCAGGCCAGCTCTCTGCTGTGGCCCGGGAGTGCAGTGGAGGATGGCCCAAGTGCTTGGGCCCTGCACCCCATGGAGACCAGGAGAAGCACCTGGCTCCTGGCTTCGGATCGGCGCAGTGCGCCGGCCGCGGTGGCCATTGGAGGGTGAACCAACGGCAAAGGAAGACCTTTCTCTCTGTCTCTCTCTCTCACTGTCCACTCTGCCTGTCAAAAAAAAAAAAAAAAAGTTTCATTTATTTGAAAGAGTTACATAGCGAGAGGGAGAGGAAGAGACAGAGACAGAGGTTCACCCTGCAAATGGTTGCAACAGCAGGAGCTGGGCTGATCCGAAGCCAGGAGCCAGGATCCTCTTCCAGGTCTCCCACGCGGGTGCAGGGGCCCAAGGACTTGGGCCATCTTCTACTGCTTTCCCAGGCCACAGCAGAGAGCTGGATGGGAAGCGGAGCAGCTGGGTCTTGAACCAGCGCCCATATGGGATGCTGGTATTGGTGGCGGGGGCTTTACTCTCTGCGCCACAGTGCCAGCTCCTTCGAGGAACTTCTCACACTCCTTCCATATGCACAGATTTCAAATTTCTTTTGGCACCAACATCAATTTATGTTTTAAGTCATCTTTCCTGAACTTTAAAGCAATTTTAATTTTAAAAAATTCATTTGAGGGAGACTGGCATTGTGGTGTAGTGGGTAAAGCCGCCACCTGTGATGCCAGCATCCCATGTGGGCGCCGGTTCGAGTCCCGGCTGCTCCTCTTCCGATCCAGCTCTCTGCTGTGGCCTGGGAAAGCAGCAGGTGAGGGCCCAAGTGCTTGGGACCCTGCCCCCGTGTGGGAGACCCGGATGGAGCTCCTGGCTCCTGGCTTCAGTTTGGTCCTACCTGGCTGTTGCAGCCATCTGGGGAGTGAACCAGCACGTGGAAGGTCTGTCTTTCCCTGTCTCTGTATCTCTGACTTTCAGATAAATAAATAAATCTTTTGGAAAATTCATTTTCGAGGCAGAAAGAAAGCGAGCAGGCTCCCATCTGCCCGTTCACTCCCCAAATGCCCACCATGGCCAGGACTGGGCCGGGCCAAAGCAGGAACTGCAAACTCCATCCAGGCCTCCCACGTGGGAGCAGACCGAAGACTGGCGCCGCCGCCGCCGCTGCCTCTCGGAGGGTGTGTGAGCAGAAAGCTGGAGCTGGGCGCCGAGCCAGCACGTGAACCCGGGCCCCGCACTCTGACACGGGATGCGGGGGCTCCCGTCCCAACCACTGCGC